GAGCTCAGGAGCCTGTGTTGCAGCAGAGACCCAGCGTCTTCCAGGGAACCAATGGAACCAGTGTGATCACACCTTTGGACCCGAGCGCTCAGCTGCGAATCATGTAAGTGTCCGTGCATCTGGACGCAGAGCCCCGTCTCACACACGCGTTCCTTGACACACAGGCTGCGCCGTTTCCTCCTGTCCCGCTCTCGCTCTGCTTTGCTGCACACCCCGCAGCACCCCCTTCACGGGCTGTGGTTTGGTTTTGTTTTCAGGCCGCTGCCTGCCGGGGGCCCTTCCATCAGCCAGGGCCTGCCGGCCTCGCGTTACAACACGGCTGCAGATGCCCTGGCTGCTCTGGTGGACGCCGCAGCTTCTGCCCCCCAGATGGACGTGTCCAAAACGAAAGAGAGTAAGCACGAAGCCGCCAGGTTGGAAGAAACTTTGCGCAGCAGGTCAGCCGCAGTCAGTGAGCAGCAGCTAGAGAAGGGCGTGGAGGCGGAGAAGCGAGCCGGGCAGTGTGCGTGCGCCTCCGCTCCCCCGCCGGGTGGCAGGCCCCAGCCTCACCCCGCGGTGGTTCACCCTGAGGCTGGGAAGGAGAAGGGGCCTCCTCCCAAGTCCAGATACGAGGAGGAGCTCAGGACCCGAGGGAAGACCACCATTACCGCAGCCAACTTCATAGACGTGATCATCACCCGGCAGATCGCCTCGGACAAGGACGGCAGGGAACGCGGCCCCCAGAGCTCAGACTCTTCCGGCAGCTGTATGTATCGCCGCCGGGCGCGCCTGTGGTCCCCAGTTCGGGATGACTTGATCCTCTAGGGCACGCGCAACAGCTGGTGTAAAGGAGTCCCGTCTGGGCAGTGAATGGAGTGCGAAGGCTTTTGGGTTGATGGTGCAAAACCGGCTCTTCTGCTGTTCTGGTTATTTAAATATCAGAGCCTCTGAAGTACAGCAGCTGAAGTGTTTTCCATGAGAAAACCTCGCCCTTCATGGAGCTCAGGGTGGAGAGGAGACAGGCAGCAGGAGGGTGACCAGGTGTGTCACCAGGCTCTGTGCTCCTGAGGCCGCATCTCTCAAATGCTTTCTAGGACGTGCTTCAGTATTTAGGCTCCTAGAGCTGTTTACGTCTTTTTTTCTAAGATAGAGAATTTCTAAAAGTGACCCCGCCTTGTTGGCGATCACTATCATCGGTAATCGGTGTTTACGTTGCGCCGTTCTGGCAGCTGGATTTTGATCAAGTCTGGTTAGTCGTTTGACGTCTACCTTGAAGTGTAAGAAAGAGTTCACAAATCTACAGTAAAATGCTAGAAAAGTTACTTAAACTTATTTCGACCTATTCTGTATCAAATTCTGAAGCTACAGGCAGGTATGTAAACAAGCACCTATTAACACCTGGAGGAACTTAGCTGCGCCTAGGCGTCTCCCTGGGCTCAGCTAATGAAACTGAGTTGGAGACAAAGAGAAAAATGGTTTCTGTGCGCCCACGTGAGATGCGTGGCTCTGTCTACTTCTGCGCCTGAGGGTATCTGTTTGGGTAGATGCCCCACTGCTGAGGTTTCTGGTGGCCTGCTGTGTCAGTGGAGAAAGTCCTTTAGCCTGGGATGATGAAAATCGGCAAAATAGGTGTTGTCCGTGCAGAAAATGGCTGGAGGAGGAAGCCGCATAGTCACATGGACAGGCCTCCTGGTCGGCGGTCCCAGCCACACGGGACCCCCGCCCCAGCCCACTGAAGCCCCATCGCCGAGCGGCACTGCCCTTCCGCTGGCGTCGCGGTAGGTGGGAGAGCGGAGCCTGCCTGCCCTCCAGCTGCTCGCTCTCTGAGCGCGCTTCTCCTGCATCCCTGAGTTGGTTCCTGTGGGAAGCCCCCGGCTCTCCCCGGGACCCACTGTGGCTCCCAGTTTTTCTCTCCAGGGCCTCCCCTCCCCGCAGCCCCTGAGGGTGCGCCGGAGCCAGGCCCTCTGTGGATGAGCTCGGGGTTGGTGCACGGGCAGCGGGGAGCACCGTTCACCGAGGAGCGTGAAGTGCTTGTTCACCGAAGGCAGTCCCCAGCCCGGCTGTCAGGACTAGACCCAGGCGGCTGCAGCTCCTGGGAGACCCGAGGGCGGGAGGAGAGAGGGCCGTCCTGCTGGCTGTCGGGGGGCAGGCGGCGGGCGCTGGCAGAGTTCATCCCTGCCTCGTACACGGGAGCGTCCACTGGTCACACCCGCTGCCTGGCCAGTGTCCCTGTGCTGCAGGGAGCACTCGGATGTCACAGGGCTCCTGAGCAGGAGGCTGCACCTGCCTCTCCCCCCGTCTCCGCCCTGAGGCCGCGGCGGGACTGAGAGGCGGCCGGGACGCCCACCGTGGACCCTCAGTCTCCTTGGGCTGGCCCGGCCGGGTCCACGGTCCCCGTTCCGGTCCCCCCCCCGTTTCCGACCCTACCCCCGGCCCCCCCCCCGGCCGTTCCGGTCGCCTTCCGTCCGCCACGCCACG